CTCTTTAACCTGTATATAAGCCAGGTAAAGAACAGGAAGATGATTTATTTAAATAACAGATGCTAGAAAGAACGGTCTTTGTTTATATAACATTTAGAAGCTGGAGGTCTAAATTTAAAGGCTGTATGAGCTTTCTTAAAATAAGAGTGGAGGCTGAAGTGCTATAACGTGGTTGTAAGCCCTAGTTAAATTTGGTGGATCTCTTCTATCATTTAATAAATAGTAGGGATTTAGGTACTATTTTGACAAGCGCTAGGTACAAATAGCATGTATACATTGTGGAAATCCTCTAGGATCCAAGAAGAGGGATATAGGGAAGACAATGCTTTGGGATGGAAGAGTGGGACATGAAAAATTAATGACCAGTGGACTGAAATGTATCAGCTGTCATTGCTTCCCAAGCCTGTTTACCATATGGGTTTTTTTAAGTATTGTTGTCCTTGGAAACAAACAGTGATTTTGTTCTTACGATTGCACTGAATTAGCATTGTTAAACTGTTTGCCTGTTTCTTGATCTCTGATACACTGTTGGTTTTACAGTTAGCAGTGTTGTTTCTTTTTCTTTCATGGAGACATGTTCAGTGTGACAGGGATAAACCAGGATACCTTTGCCAGGTCTTTTCTCTGCTTCGTGTGACGATGCTTTTTGGGTAGCTTTTTCTCATCATGCTGTTTTCTTAGAGTGGTATAAAGTGTCTTCAGGACTGGTGACGAAGGAGCAAGGGTAGAAGGGCTTTTGTTAGGGTGATGCACAGGAAGAATGGGAAGATACAAGCTATAATGCTTCACTATACTTGTATGTTTTTAAGTAAAACGAATCTGGGAACTATCAAACAATAATCCAGGCAGCACGGACCATGGTTCGTTCTTACCATTTTTTGCTGGGGGGGAGCAGGCTGTCTTTTACCCCTCGGGCACTCTTTCACAGCTGTTTCCTAGCCCTTTACTGAGACTTCTGTGCCTTCTCTTTCCATGGTGGCAAAGACGGCACAACCCCCTTTTTGGGGCCACCAGCGTCCTGGGCTATTTTTAGGGCTGCCTTTTCTTCAGCTCATGGACTCTCAGGGAAATGGCTTCTGCCTGTGCTTCAGCTGTTACCTACCTGAAGTTAATCTCATTTACCCTGGCTGGCCCTATCCCTCCCTCTTACAGGTGGTAATAACCTTGCTTTTGGGAGCAGGGAGCATTTCCTCCCCTCTCAGTGCAGCTGCCCTGCCTCAGTAATTTCAGCAGCAGAAACTCCTCACTGTCATGAGGGGAGCGGGCAGGGCTGCCCTTCGCCCTGGGTGGTCCGGGGATCGTGGGAGGACAGACTTCCCTCAGCTGTGGCCTGTGTCTGAATCTCATAGCCCTGCTGGGGAGTAGCGTGCGCTATTTCTTGCTCTGCCTCTGGGTGCTGGGAAGTCAGTTTGTGCCTGGCCCTGACTTGTCCTGCCTCTCCGGCCCCGAGTAAAAGGTTAATGTCTGTAAGTGCCTCAGTTTCCCTCTGTTTTCTAGCAGCTTTCATAGTGTGGTTCTCTGCAAGAAACACTTCTTTCTAATTAAGTGTTAAGAAAGAGATGGTATTACAAGTTACTGTTCCCTACATGCCATTCATGTACTTTTTAACCTCTGGGAGGAGGCGTCTCTGTTTCCTGCCTTCCTCCCCTGACTGCTATTGCTGCCGGGATGGTTTTTATCATACTTGATTTTGGTTTTTAGGAATGACAAAACTTGATTATGATTTCAACCAGTTTGTCATCCTAGAAATTTACTCAACCAGTGTAGGGTAAAGAGGAGCCTCTTCCAGGAGAAATACCTACCTCCTGCTCAACCCTCACCCTTGCATGTGACCTCCATGGCTGCAGAGTCCCCTCTTTATGAACCTGAGGAGACCTGCAGACTTCTTGCTTTCATGCCCTCATACTGTCATTCCTGACGATACCTGAAAATGTTGCCTACTCAAAAGGTAAGATGGTAGGAGCCAGCAAAAAGCAGCAACCACAGACTTGGAGAGCTCTGACACCTTTGTCCCTCATTCAGGTGGGGCTGCCAGAGGAAAGCAGTGTTTATGTATCTTTTTCCAAGCCACACGAAACCCATCAGTTTGAGGGATGCTTCCTTCCCTTGTTCTCCTTCCCTCCCTTGCTGTGTACGCCTGTTCTCCCAGGCATGAGACAAGGAAAGAAAAGGAGACCCGTTACATTTACAAACCAGTCAAAGCAAAGGACCTCGTGTCATTGAGGCTGCAGGGAGTGAACTTTGTCTCTCCCAGAGGCATTTTCATAGCGCACTGGCAGCTCCAAAGCTCTGAACAAAAAGCAACTTATCTCCAAGAAAGATAGGCCCTTTTCTTATGCATAACTGTCAAAACTGTGATTAGCGCACTTCCCTTGCCACACATGAGAAAAAGCTGCTGATAAGACACACTCCATGTTGAAAATGAGTTTTATCACGTTTACCTCTCAAATCCTTTTTACATACAGTTGTTACAGATAATACCTGACATTATTCACACTAGAGAGACTTCATCTTTTTTCTGTTTTCCTGAGATTTATTCCTTTGTTCATTTGTTCAGATTCCTTGTTTCTTGTGGACAGCTGGTGAATGCTAGTTTCTTCTTGTCATGCTTACTCTCATCTTTCACACAGCAGCAACAAAGGGGAAGTATTTCTTTCTACCGACACAGATAGCCTGCCTGTTTCTGGCTTCTAGCAGGGTTTTTTGTTTGTTTGTTTCAGACAGAGGAACAGATGACAGATAGGTAAGTAAACAAGACTGAGAAAGGCATGCTTGTTAAATTTTGTTTCCCTGGACACAGCTGAAATGGATCATCATGCAATGCCAACATCCTCAGCTTTTTCTCCCAGGGTTGTGCTATAAAATGTTTTCTGATTCCTTGCTACCTTTTCTCTGCCTGCTGCTCTGGTGTTTCCTTGTCTCTATCTTGTATGCTTAGCATAAGCCAAATAAATACAATATCCATGCACTTGTTATCAGATGTTTTGAATCAATTGACTCAGCTGCTGCCAAACTTGCTTATGGTCAACTTCTTGAGTGTGGTGTTTTTCCATGATTTCCAGCTGTCAGCACCATGAAAAATGATTCCTTGTTTCACCTGAGTGAAAAACAGCTCTTATGTCTGGCTACCATAGTGAGATGATGGATGGGCCCAACTTGTGCCATGAGAAAGTACACTTAAAATGTGCTTCTGAGAGAACAAAAACTCAAGGACACATTTTGACATAGTACTAAAATTGGTTTGTAACTCCTTTTATAAGACTAACAAGAGGTCAGGCTCTTTTTTTTCCCATCAGTTTTTCCAACAGTCAAGCCCTGTTTGTTCTCAGTCCTGCCTGCAGGATGAAAAAATACAAAGTCGCTTGTCTTCTGGAATGTTTTTTGGAAATCCTGAGTATTTAGGAAGTTCAAACCAAAATCGGGTTGTGTCTTCTGTTTCAGCTTTGAGGTTTTCTTCAGGACTTTCACCCTTCAGTTTTTGTGTGGCCATTAAGTTTCAAACATTTTGTTCTGCCATACCTATTACATGAATATCCACATGAGTCCCATGAATATCTATATAATGTTTCAGTGACAGAGGTTCATGGGCCTCTCATAGGTGTTACAATGTGTTTCAGAAAACTATGTGATATTTGTTCCCTTGTTGGCTGCTTGAGGGTTCATGGCTCTGCTTTGGCACAAGGGATGGGAAAATTGTTGTTTTGACTTGCCAAGCCCATTTAGTTCAGCACAAAATGCTACAATGCGCTTCTGGATACCCTGTTTGAAACACATGGTTTGAAGATGGCAATCAAATTAAGATTAGAGTCTGCCAACAAGGGGGGGGGAGGGGAGAACAAACAAACAAAAAATCCCATAGCTTGACACATCTGTTCAAATTCCCTGTAACTACCCTAAGTTTCTTCCAGTCCAAAATATTTTAGAATTTGCTTCCAGATCTTGATTTCATTGCAGGTGTGTCTGTTCTAGTTTGCAATTAGATAATTTTTATATAAACTAGATTTGCTAAATGTTACATATTTTTAAACAAATCAAGCAAACAGATGCTTAGAGGAGAGTTATGCGTGTAGTTTCTTGGGTGGAATTGTGTTTCCAGAGTGACCTGCAAACCTAAAGACCAGTGTCACTTTCCCAGCTGTTCTGTGGAAGAAAACTAGCAGCTGCTGTCTTGTGCTGTAGGCTACTTTTGGCATGCTCTGGGCTTCTGGCAGTAGAATTAATATGCCTAACCAATACTGTGATTTAAATGTGTCTATTAATTTCCCTGCACTGAATAAAATACTTAAGTAGGGCTTAAAAAATTATTAGAGAGGTCTTCCTTATGCTCATTTAGAACAAAATGAAGACTATAGAAACAACTTATGATTAAATTGAAAAGCAGGTAAATTGTCTTAATCTTAGGCAGGAATAAAACACTCCTTAAGAATTCACACAAAGTACTTGGTTTCCTTCTCTGGTTGTTATGGTCACCATACTTTTAAATATTTTTGGATTAAAAATCCCCTGTCTGTTTTGACTCAGCATCTGAATTATATACACATGTTCATCCTGTTTAAATACTTTGACTTAGCGGAAGAATTATGTTGAGCAAATATATTCAGTAACTAGTAAATGAGAAAATATTTTACTTGTAGAATGTGAAAATGTAGATTGTATAGTTGCATGTTTTGAAACCTCAAAACACTGGGCTTGTCTGTATAGACTAAATAGTAAAATTTTTTTTCTAGCTGTTTTAATTTGAGAATCTTTTTTCCTTTGGTTAGCCAGTGTCAGGTGATGTTCTGGGAAGAAGCTCTTCACACTTCAGATGGTGACAAAAAAGAACAGGCAGCTTAATGTTACCAAACTAGGGGTGTGTCAAATCTCTCTCAAGAATGATAAACTCAATGGAGTTGTCTATTTTTAACCTCCTGTTCTTTCCTTTTGGCAGACTAATCAGTGTTAGCTGAGCTGTTTCACTGAATGAATCCAAGCAAATCTGTTGCTTTCTGAAATGAACAGCGGACTTTGCAAGAGCATTTCAAGTCTGCTTTAATGTATGAAGTCCCATTTTGAAACACCATGTCAAATGAAGCCAGTTCGGAGCAGAAGCTTTCTACGACAACAGTCAGTTCAGTTGCTGTTCAGGCTGGGGATGCCAGTATTGTTATAGCTGTACTTAAGGTAAGGCAGCAACTGCTAGCCTGTCTGTTCTCGGCTTTCTGCTACTCAGTGATTACTACTTCCTTTAAATGTTCTGTGCAAATGAATAGTTAGCATACAATGATTAGGCAAGGTCATTTATTCAGTTTTATCTAATAGATCTTCCTTGGAAGTTAACACTTGTTTCTGTTCACAATTTCTGTTTGTGGTTTTTGGTTTGTTTTTTAAATGGAATAAATAATTTGGCCAAAATATGTAGGCTCTTAGAGGCAAGGAATTCCTCTTACTCTGTTTAAAATGTGAGAGATAAATGCAGAGTGCCATGAAAATGTGTTAATAAGCATGATGTTACCTTTAATCATAGTTGAGACTCCTCAAGAGTTATTTTTAAACTATATTCAGTAATAATTTTACACAATAAGTAGTCTACCAACTCCATAAATGCAGATTGTGTGTCTTTTTTTGAAGTATTTGCTGGGGAAAAAAAAGCCTAAACCTGATAATGAGTGGTTATTTTTGAAAGCTGTGAATTCATATTCCCATGTGTTTTAGTAGAAGCCCTTATGTGTATACAGTTGTGCTTATAAGCACCTAAAGGCCTGTTCTGTGAGCTGGAATCCGCACCTACAGCTTGCACAAAATTCGGCATGAGGAGTAAAGCTGGATGCCTAGGTACTGAATCCCAGTGGGAATTTATTGGCAGTTTGATTCTTCATTCTCCAAGCAGCTTGGAAGACACTGTAGCCTCAGCTGCTAGAGTTCGTCTGTAATGCCGAATAAGGTGATAATGAGTTGGGCTGTCACTGAATTAGGGTAATTATTCAGGATGGAGTTACCTCAGTTGTGCCGGTGGGATGGGAAGGTTCTCTCCTATCAGTTCTCACCCTTCCTGGGAGACTCTGTCTGCTGCCGCAGGGGAGTAATTTTGTTGCAAGGAGGCTTAAGTTTAGGGTGAAGACATTTATTTTTCCCCTGTGTGCTGTGGGAACCACGCTAGCCTCCAGTGACATCACTGCTTCATTCCTTATCACCATCCTCTCTGAGTTATACTTCTCAGACTGTAGCAGTTCTGCAACACAGTGAGGAAAGAATTAGCTATGCTTTGGGTCGCTGTCAAGCTTCCTTTCTTTGTATATCCTCCAGACACAATGGGTGATTGCTGTTTGGGTTCCTATTCCAAAGGCTATTAAGTCTCTCTGCTGCTAGTTGTGCAATCTCTCTCTACATATATATTCAGTATACAGGTATGCTGGATCCGTGTGGTAGAAATAAGATTTGGGGTTATGGTTTTTGCATCTGCTGTAATATATCTTTCTTTGTATATCCACAATGGACAATGGGTGATTGCTGTTTGGGTTCCTATTCCAAAGGCTCTCTCTGCTGTAATATATTTGTACCTTCCGCCCACCCCCCCACCCACCAAGGTTCCTTCACCACATGTCAACCT